CCCTTTAGGAAAAACAAGATTATATCCTTGCCTCTATCACACACAAAATAAATCTAGATACAGAAAAAAGCTTGTAATCTACTAGAAGAAAATACAGAGGAAAATTACATGGTCTTTAGGTAGGGACAAGAAAAATCAAATTAGTATAAATAAGAGAAAGAGATTAAGTGATCTCAATTTTAAATGATAATGAAATGAGTTGACTAGAAAACATACTTGAAGTAATAAGAAACTTTGGTGATGTGACTAGGTATGAAACAAATAATCAAAAATCATTCACTATTCCCTATACTTATAATAATCAGAAAATTGAAAAGAGAAAACATTACATTCACAGTAGCAACTAAACTATAAAACACTTAGGAATAAATTAAGAAAATAAAGGATTATGTATGGTAATCTGAAGCAAACATCATGATATATAAATTGGTAGATACATATTTGCATTGTATATACTTTCCCATACTTTTAAATTAAAAATTATTTAATTTCAAATTAATGTCAAATTAATGATTATTCTCTCGTGATATTGTACGTGAGTCTTCTTTTACCAAGTTAATTATTATTTTGGTTTCTTTCTTTTTGGTAACTAATTTATGATGTCTAATTTAATCTGGTAACTGACTGTTCATTGCATGAACAGTATGAAATTCCCCTGGATACTTAGACTATAGGGGTGGGGCAAATACCTCTTTGCGAACCATCTGCAGAGATGCAATTCTGGATCTTTTCTGGGGAGTGGTTGCTTGTGGGGCAGGCAGTAACATGAAAATGACTCTTATCTCCGTGCTGAGTTGTCTGTTTTGCAATACAGAAAATAAGGTGTGGCACCAGCCAACAACGCTGGTGTGACTTTGCATTGACAACAGGAGAGTTTAGTGGTGTACAAAGAGGAAGTTAGGGGAAAACAAAACAAAATAAAGCCTGGTCTTTATTCCTAATGCAGGAAACAAGACTGTCTGTACCCTCATTGAATTCTCCAACTGAGCAAATATTTAATCATATTAACAAGCTGCTGATATTTAATACATACTATTGGGGAGATATAAAGGGATTGTCTAACAGTCTAACTTAAAAAAAGAGTCATGATCTTGTTAGGATTTGATGACTCAGAAAAAAAAAGTAAAAGTGGAGTGAAAGGGGGCCCCTATTCTGCTGGCTTTTCTGCCTGACACATTGGCTAAGATTCTCCAATCAAGGAGGCTGACTTCTTTAGACTTAAATTGGGCTAACATATGAAGATGAACATGTAATTTATACTGCATTAAACCAGCAAGTTTTCACCAATCCAATACTGTGTATAGTTTCTGTTTTATTTGGCCAGGAATTTCCTAGCCTTGGGTGACAGGAAGATGTTTAACAGGGAGAATCAGAAGGAGATGTTAGTTTCAGAATTTGCAGATCAAAGTTAGAAAATATGTACTTCAGTTCAGGCAAGCAAATTTGCATATACACTCAAGTAAAAAGTTAAAAGTTTTGACCTTGATGTTTTATTCACTATAAACATATATTTAATCAATTCTCTATTAAAAAACATTTAAATAGTTTCCAGTCTTTCATTGTTTTAAGCTATTATAGGACTGCAGTCTGTCATCAGCATTCCGAAACAAAAAGCTCCGAAAACCTTTTCATAACCTACATGGTGGTAAAAAGCTGACCTGACTTGAACTTATTTGGCAAAAACAAACTATGCGGCTATTAAGTTATTTATACTCCTTACATATCTGACTTCATGTGAACGTGTTTCACTGCGAAATTATTAATGTCTGATTGTGGGATCTGCCCTAGTATTCCCAGGGATGTCATGTAATATGGAGTATATCCATGTTTTAACTTTTTCAAATCTGAAAAATTCTGACTTCTGAAACATATATGCCCCCAAGGTTTTGGATAGGGAACTATGGACCTGTATTCACTGCAACAAATGTCTTTAATATCTTTGTTTCATTAGGAGAAATTTACATTATGTACAGCATATTTCTCAGTCAGATTTTCTGGGTTTGAGTCCTCGTTCTGTTACTATTTGTTAACTGTAGCTATATTTAAATTTTCTCAGCAGTAAAATGGGAATGATACTAGTTGCAGTTATTCTGAGGATGGAGTGAGGGAACACAAGCAGAACACTCAGAACAGCTGGGTAATTAGTAAGCATTTAATACATGTCAGCTATAATTATCATAAGAGTGTACCAATTTATATTTCTGACAACAGTGCACTCATTTTTTATGCTCCTACCTACATTTGGTATAACTATTGTTTATAATCTTGTCTAATGTAATAGACCCTCCCCTGAAAGATATCCCATTTTTGCTTGCATTTCTTTTAGTGATACTGAAAATATTTTCATGCTTTATTAGTATTTCAATACTCCACATTTTTTGAATGTCATACTTTTCAAAGATCTTCTCTATTAAAATATAAAAATATTTACATTTACCTATAGTTTCCCCTGTATTTGCAAGTTTCTTTGCTTTTTTCCTTTCTTTCTTCCTTTTAAGAGTTTAATCCTTCTAGATTATTCTAATATATCACTTAAAGAATCGTATATTCTTAGCCAATTTCCCCAATACCAGTTACCGAATAATCCATCTATTTTCACCACTGATTAAAAACCGTTTTTATCATATGCAAATTATCTTTTTCCAGACATCGCATATTATTCCTTTGATTGACCTATTGATTCTCTTGCCCACCCCATATTGTTTAAGCTTCCAGCATAGGTCAAACACTATTTTTATTTTTCACAAACTTCCTAGATATTGATACATATTTATTCTTCCAGACAAAAATCAGAAATATCTTACAAAATTTTCAACAAAACTGCATTGGGATTTTTGACTGAAATTAATTTAGAGGAAACAGACGCATTTCAATATTGATTCTTCCCATTTGTTCAAGGACGTGAAATATGTCCCCAATTCTTTTTAAAGTTTCATAAACTTTAAAGTCTTTGCCAATAGCTACAGCTAATTAACAAGTTCTGAAATATGCATGCCATTTTGATTTACAGCAGATTGAAAACTAAATTAATATGCGAATACAGTTAACCCTTGAACAACTTGGGGGTCAGGGGCACTGACTCTCCACGAAATTGAAAATATGCATATAACTGTACAGTCAGTCCTCTGTATCCCTGCATTCAACCAAGGACCAGTGTAGTCCTGTAGTACGTATTCAGTGAAAGAAATCCATATCTTAGTGGATCCTTTCAGTTCAAACCTGTGTTTTTCAAGGGTCAACTGTACCTTTATCTGTACTAGGTAGTTGTTATGGACTGAATGAATGACTCAAAACTCACAGATGAAGCCCTAACCCCCTAGTGCGATGGTATTTGGAGATGGGGCTTTGTAGAGGTAATTAGGATTAGATGACGTTATGAAGAGGGGCCCTTATGATGGGACAGCACTCTTATAAGAAGAGACACTGGAGAGCTAGTGCTTGCTCTCTCTCTGTCCCTGTGCTGGTACAAAGAAGAGGTCATGTGAGAAAGAAAGAAGGTGACTGTTTGCGAGAGCCCTCACCATAAATTGACCATGTTGGCACCCTGATTTCAACGCTCAAATTCAACAGAATGAATTTCTGTTGTTTAAGCCGCACAGTCAACGGTATTTTGTTATGGCAGCCCCAACAGACTACAATAGTAGTGTGCATCTCAGTCTTCCCCCGGACTCGGGGTTACCCCCAGCTACACAAGTTAATCACAGACCAAGGAAATAGCACAACTGAATTAGCTAATGTGGTGACAGAAAGGGCTACTTCGTGATGAGTACTTATTTTACTGAATTGCTTTCTATGAGGATCAATTTAGGAAAAAGGAAGGTTTCTAAGTCGCCTTATTCTCTCATTCAAAAGGAAAATTAATTCTACAGATAAATTGCATACTTTTTAAAAACGTTGGCTTCCCTATTTTATTGCATAGAAGAATCTCTATGAGAAAATTGTCATCGGTGTTTACCACCCACGATGTTGATACACGAGCATATCTGGGGGTGGTGACTTGGAGGGACCTTCCTAATCATTCCTTACAGTTGTGGAACACTTGAGAGTGTGCTAACTGCATTCACATGCAAATTTTTCTTTCATCCTCCAAATAAATTCAAATTAAGTGTCAGTCTCATTTTATGGAAGCTGAGATTCAGAGAAATGAAATGCCTTTTGCAAGGTAGCGCAGAACCAGGGCTAGATTTAATTTACTCCATCAAATGAATTTTTTTCTGAGAACTTCATTGTATGCATACTATGGCCCCTAACCCAGGCCTTTCTCTCCTAGGATCTCCTCTCCGCACTGGGGTAGCTGCGTGGCTGCCTTATACCACACTGTACTTCGCTCAGGTAGCTTCCGGTGCCCCCCAGTATCCAGCCACCACTGGACACGGAACCTGCGGGCAGATGTGTGGTGTTGCCTTTCCTAGGGGCAAACTTCTCTCAGCCAGTCTCCTCCGAGTCCCTGCTGGGCCAGTGATTCAAAAGGCTTCTCTTGACATCTGAGGGGTTTGCCTGGAAAGCTCTCCTTCAACTCTTCCTCTCCTACTTTCCTTTCCCTCCCAATTATTCTGCTTTGTATACACTTAAAGTGAGGTTTAACATTTGATCTTAGGTTCAAATGAGAAGCCAGGCAGGTAATGAAACCCACAGGCTTTGACTTACTCATTGTCCTACTTTATCCTGAACCAAACCTTTCACTAGTGGAATGAAACAATGTCCCAAACTCAGTGTAGAATTTGTTGCTTGAGGAAGCAGAAAGAAGCAAAAATATTGTTGAAACAGTAGGAATTTATAAGGCAAGATAATGAAAATAATGCCACATTTAATTGAAAAACAAGTTAATTGTAAGTGAAGTTCTTTTTTCGAAAAGACAAGTGATACTTGTATTGACTGTGTTCAGAGACGACAAATCAGGAGGGAGGTGTGCAGTGGTGATTGTTTTAGGAAAAATGAATTACAAATTTTTGTCCTGAAAATGATTTAAATCTATGTATCTCAGAAACTACACAGAAGAATGCACATTAACAGTTTATTTTTCAACTTAAATCTGCAGGCATTTTTTTCTTATTCTTTACAGGAGCCTTGTCTTATTTTATCATCTTTAGATTTATTATGCCCCAGAAGTGAAAAATGGATCCTGTCATATAGAGAGGAAAAAAGTAGTACTTTCAACACTTTGGGAATATTAAAGTTGTTTTGAACATTTGCACTAGAACTCTGTGGAACCTGGAACCTCTGTGTTAAAGTGGTACAGAATTACCCAATCAGAAGGTCCCAGTATTTCGTTAGCAACAATGTTCTCAGGAGAGATGTTACAAATACAGCTATCAGCATAGAGCCAGGATAGTCTCTTAAAATACTCTGACCTCAGGCCCTAAACTCAAGGGAAAGAAACAACAGAATTTTCTTTTACAGAGTATAGAAAAGAAGTATTGTAGTATGTAGTTACAGGAACACAGGGCTAGGTGACAGGGAACGACTGCATTTTAGTTCTGGCCCTGAAATTTTAACCAAATCATCTTTCTAGGTTTTAATTTCCTCATCTGTAAAATTGGAGATCACAATTCTTATGTCATAGAGTATCTGGAATGATTAAATAAAAATATTTTATATCAAAATGGTGGAGAAAGAAAGAGAAAAGAATTATTGAGGGCTCAATGTACGCCAGGTATTTTAGTTACAAGTTGGGCTTTTTAAGAGAGATCAAGGATGATTTAAGTTCATGATTATACCACACTGAAATTTTAAATCAAATCATTAATAAAAATACTTTTAATTAAAGTTAAGTAATCTATATTTCACTCTAAAAGAAACTTTTTTAATTTTAATACATTTTTAAGGCCTAGTATTACTAAAGCTCAAAGGCAAACTAAATCAGTGGAAAATAAAAATACTTTCTATAAATATTTCCTTCCAAATGTGTCTTGTGTTGTAGACTAATAATAATTCAGAATAAAAATAATCTGTATTAATGTTTTATATTTTTTCAAAATACTTTTCAAAGGGAACACTAAATTAGATGTATTAAGTTAAATAAACATAGTATTTAAAATTTAACACCAGAAAAATCTGACACATTGTTATATTCTTCTACTGGTTAAAGACTATTTTATGGATGGAGTGTAAATAATTTCACACAACATTTTAAAACATTCTGTAGACAAAACTTCCTCAAACAGAAATTTAATCTAAAATGTTACCCACTGAATTTTTTTAAAAATTAAATACATCAAAATATGCTGAAAGAACAATTTTTCCTGAAAATAAAATTCAGTAAAATCAAAAAATAATTCAATATTATTGATTAAAAGTTTCAGCTGTTAAAATAAAACTAAGAACCACATACTTTCTTAAGTAACTGCATATGTATTTTCATATTTACTTTTTAAGAGCAATCTTATTAAAAATAAATATCAGAGTTTAAAAATGTTTCAGTTGTATACTTTTCTATTAAACACACACATATACATACAAATAGGAAGAATCCATATCATCTTCTGATTATAGATAATTTAAAAATCTGACAAAGTCATAGTCTCTCTTGACCTTATATAGAAATAATGTAAAAGTTAGACATATATTTTTAATCATTTTGATATATAATTGGGTCAGATTTTATTTTCAGTAGTTTTTCATAATTTTTACTAGGAAGATTAGCTAGTAATGAGAAAAAAAGTAATTTAAACTTAACACTTGATACTTAAGAGTATAGTTAGAATACATACGTTTATAAAAATAAACATCTAAGCAATAGATATTTTGTTTCTTAGATGAGGTAGATAAATTAAAATATTCTAGAACATGATCTGAACTTAAAAAAAAAACAAAAACAGAAATTAGCAATCACCAATTCAACCAGCATGACTCAAATAGCTGGAGAGTTCTTTTTATTTTCGACATACATGTCATATATTTTAAGTACAAGGCCTCTGAAATCCATTTTCTACTCCCCAAAACCTTCTTAAGTTGAAATTTATATTTTTCATTGACTTACTCATTATTTAATCGACCTAGAGGACTTTGCATTTAATTTAACTTAATCTACCTAGAGACTAAAGACATTTGCAATTAAACCAAAGATTCTAGCTTTTCATTTTTTATGTTTAAGTGATATTTTCCTTTTACACACCTAATATAGTAAAATACATTAGAAAAAGCTATCACTCTTCAGATGTTGCACAATAAATAATTACTTAGATGATAAAGAGTTAACAAAAATTTCAATGTCTGCTAAAGAATTATGAAGCCCATCATTCATCTCTTGACTTCTAAGAAAACTTTTCAGAGTATCTAAAGCAGTTATTGCCTCATTTTTGGACGGTAAAGGGAGTTCGGTTCCCAGAGATCCACCGTCATCCTCTTCGTCAGAAGTATAAAATCCAGTTTCATCTGGTTTACTTTCTTTGGTCCATTCAGCATCACCACTGGGTGCTGCTTCACATGTCTCTAAATCATCATCCAGGGCAGCATACTCTTCGATCGATAAGCCTTCAGGAAATTCCACTCCTGCCGCCTGGGCAGGGACAACCAAATCAAGGCCAGTGTCCGTCTCTGCATCTGTCTTGTCGCTTTCTTCCTGTTGCGATTTGAACCCTGCCTCTTCATAGCTCTTCACAATAGTCTGAGGGGTTACAGCCCTCCAGCAGAGATGCAACGTGTCAACTGCATCTAGCAGGGAGAAGGTAAATTCTTTGCTGCCTTCAACAGAGCTTAAAAATTTCTTAATAAGACAGTGTCGGTACTTGATTTTAAGGCTTTTAATGACACCTTGTTTCATAGCTATAAATTTGGAAGATAAACATGATGGAAAAAACGCTAACTCGATGGACTTTAGGTTTTTTACCTCTGGGTGTGCTGGAAAAGATTCGACAAAAATCACCACTCTTCTTTGCTCGGCTTGAAATTTCTCATCAAGCTTCCGCATCCATTGTTCAAATACATCTGAGGTCATCCATGCCATTTTGTTAGCTTCATAATACACAGGCAAGGACTTTATGCCTTTGAAACAATGTGGATTTTTGTTTTTTCCAATGACAAGCAAAGGAAGTTTCTCTGAGCCATCCATGTTTGTCCCAACCACCAGAGTTATTCTGTCTTTGCATAACTTACCAATAGAGCACGTTTCCCCTTTAAATGCAAATGTTTTTGTAGGTAACATTCGATAAAGCAGCGCAGTCTCTTTTACATTAAAAACATTTTTAGGATGATAATCATTTAAATAATAAGGAAGTATGTTTTGGTGCCAGACAGTTGAAGGGTCTACTGATACACCAGTAGCTTCGGCAGGTTGAGCTCTGAACACTAAACCGTACCTGGATTTAAAGCGATCCAACCAACCGTTACTGCACTTGAAATCATTATGTCCCAGTTTCTGGGCAAAATCATTAGCCTTTAGACGCAACATTGGACCATTAACTGGTACATTCAGACACTGAGCAATTCGATACCACCTCATTAATGCCTCTTCCAGATCTGTGTAAAAAGCAGTTCTCAGTCTTTTTCTCTTTGGATCAAACCTCAGAGATTCAAAGGCTTCTAGAACTTTGTCTTTATTCTTCATAATAGAAGACAATGAATTTTTCTTTATTCCATATTCAGCTGCAATCTCTGCTTTTTTCTTGCCGCTTTCTACTGCATTTATGATATCGATCTTTTCTTCAATGGATAGACTTTTCTTTTTCTTCCCGGTTACAGGCAGAGTTGCGGCATCCACAGACGCTTCAGCCATCTCACCCTGTGCTTATGCAGAGATTTCTCCTCTCTCTGGGTCTGTTTCGTTAACTAAACTTCTTTGCCAGTATGATACAACTTGCTGCTTTCTATCTTACTTCATATATTACAAGTTTGTAAGTGTCTAATTGCCTTATTCTTCAGGAAATGGATGAGTAAATATATTTTTTCAAAGGATCTGAATAAGAAAAAGATTAGATGCAGGCAGAATATTTTAGAAGAGAAACTTCCTCTCCAGGACCTTGCGTAGCTCGGTTTATAGTTTATTCAGAGTTCCAGAAGTCAAGCTAAAATAGAAACCTCATTATGTCAAACCTGTCCAGTCCTGCTGATGTATTTTTGGAACTTCAATCCTTTAAGATGATCCATTTTATCCATGCGTGCATTCAACCTCCTATTAATTCTCCACAGAAGGCCTCAGAGATAAGAAGAAAAGCATCCAGTAATTTCACGCAAAATGTTACCCATTAATTTCCAAGTCTCTTCAGGGCGGAGAAGACATGGTAGAATTCTTCTAGGACTTGACAGTATATATCCC